ACACAAGCAGGGGGAGTGGGAGAGGGAGAAGAAGGCTTCCCACGGAGCAGGGAGCCTGATGCAGGACTCGATCCCAGGACCCTGGGATCATGACCAGAGCCAAAGGCAGATGCTTAATGACTGAGCCATCCAGGTGCCCCTAAATTGGTCACTTTAACAAAATATCAGGCTGTGCTGTACTTAATGGGAAGATTTCCTATGCTTTTAAAAAATGAGCAATACATTAAAATAAGTCTAGGGCTTTATTCACTCTTTTTTTGCAGACTGTATCTTTGGAAAGTATTACTGAATTGATAAAGTATTTATGGAGAGAGTTAAAATACTGTATTAGGGAGGTTCTGGATTTTACAAAAATGTAGAGATCATAGTTCACTAAAATGTGGATAAAAAGCCAGTAACTTATTTGGTTACATCCATACTAGCCATGCCAGTGTTCATAAATACAGTGAAATAATTGATATTTTTGCCCCCAAAACTGAAAAACTAGTTGTAAGCCTGGTGAAATTTTTTAATGCAAAGAAGAATGTAAAATGATAGCAACGCTTATGAAATGATAAAAAGTAGAACATATCAAATTTAGAGGGAAAATATGAATACTTGGTTTTTCCAACAATTAGACAAGGTACATACAGATTCAAGAGCTTACACGTTGAGGGTAAATGGCTGGACAATATGCAGTTCTCCCAGACAACCTCCGGGCGCCGCTGTTGACCAAAGGGAAGAAAGGTTCTCAATTCTGCGGGAGAGTTGGGCAGTGTTTTCCAGCTTTGACCTGCGCACATCAAAACGCGGAGGCGGCGCCTGTGCACCCACCAACGCCAGTCCTACCTACCCTCAAATCACAAAAGTCCAGGTGCTGGCACTGATTTTTTTTTAAACATCCCAGAGACATCCTGAAAAGAAGCTTCCCAGGGAGTTCAAAAAATGCAAAGAAGCTCCAGAAAAGCTGAACCGATGAAAATTCAGGTACTGTTTCTCTTCCTGCTGTCTTTGTTGTGGGGGGCTATCTCCCAGCAAATCCAATACGCTATTCCGGAGGAGCTGGCCAGGGGCTCGCGGGTGGGGAACCTCGCCAAGGACCTGAAGCTCAGTGTCCAGGAGTTGTCAGCTCGAAAACTGCGGGTTAGTGCAGAGAATTTCTTCAGTGTGAGTGCAGAGAGTGGGGATTTGTTAGTGAACGGTAGGATAGATCGAGAGGAAATTTGTGGGAGGAAATCTGAGTGTGCACTAGAATTTGAAATGGTTGCTGAAAATCCAATGAATGTTTTCCACGTGATTGTTGCAATCCAAGATATTAACGACAATGCACCGCGTTTCACCGCAAAAGGCATTGACTTGGAAATCTGCGAGTCAGCCTTACCAGGTGTAAAATTCCCTCTGGATTCTGCACAAGATGCAGATGTAGAAAGTAACTCACTGAAGATATACACTATCAACTCCAGTGAACACTTCTCTGTGACAACGAAGGAAAGTCCTGATGGAAGTAAATACCCAGAATTACTGCTGGAAAAACCTCTGGACAGAGAACAGCAGAGCTCCCACCAGTTAATCCTGACCGCCATGGACGGTGGAGACCCTCCACTAAGTGGCACCACCCAGGTCCGGATTCAGGTCACCGATGCCAATGATAATGCTCCAATGTTCAGCCAGGAAACGTACAGAGTTAGCCTCCAAGAAAATGTGCCCTCGGGGACCTCTGTGCTCCAAGTGATGGCCACTGACCAGGACGAGGGTGTTAATGCAGAGATCACCTATGCCTTCCTCAGTGCCCCAACAAGTACCAGCCTCCTCTTCAATCTCAATCCAAATACTGGTGACATTACAACCAATGGTACATTGGACTTTGAAAAGACAAGTAGATATATGTTGGTTGTAGAAGCCAAGGATGGAGGGGTGCACACGGCTCACTGTAATGTTCAGATTGAAATTGTTGATGAGAATGACAATGCCCCAGAGGTCAAATTGATGTCCTATTCTAACCAGATTCCCGAGGACTCAGACCTTGGGACTGTAATAGCCCTCTTTAAAGTGAGAGACCGGGACTCTGGGCAAAATGGTCTGGTGACGTGCTATATTCAGGAAGACATTCCCTTCAAATTAGAATCCACCTCCAAGAATTATTACAAGCTGGTGATTGACAGTGCCCTAGATAGGGAGCAGATGGCGGAGTACAATGTCACCATCACAGCCACTGACAAGGGCAAGCCCTCCCTATTCTCCAGTACAAGCGTCACCCTACACATCAGCGATATCAACGACAACGCGCCGGTTTTCCACCAGGCCTCCTACGTGGTCCATGTGGCCGAGAACAACCCTCCAGGGGCTTCTATTGCGCAAGTCAGCGCCTCGGACCCCGACCTGGGGCCCAACGGTCGCGTCTCCTACTCCATCGTGGCCAGCGACCTGGAGCCACGCGCGCTGGCGTCCTACGTGTCCGTGAGCGCGCAGAGCGGGGTGGTGTTCGCGCAGCGCGCCTTCGACCACGAGCAGCTGCGCGCCTTCGAGCTGACCCTGCAGGCCCGCGACCAGGGCTCGCCCGCGCTCAGCGCCAACGTGAGCCTGCGCGTGTTGGTGGGCGACCGCAACGACAACGCGCCCCGGGTGCTGTACCCGGCGCTGGGGCCCGATGGCTCGGCGCTCTTCGACACGGTGCCGCGCGCCGCGCAGCCCGGCTACCTGGTCACCAAGGTGGTGGCGGTGGACGCCGACTCGGGACACAATGCCTGGCTGTCGTACCACGTGCTGCAGGC